CAGGAAAGTGAACGTTCCACCCCCTCATTTGAGGCGCGCGACCATTAGGTTGCAAGTTGGTGGAGTTCACAGCGGTGGCAAACCTCGAAGCCCTAACCTCTGCCTCACCCAAGCCCTAAAGCTTGGGGGCCAACCAATTGGGCTACAAACCCGGTTGGCCCGAAGCTTTTGTCTCTAAAATAAGGGGTAGGAATAGATTTGCACTTAGAAAAAAAGTAAGGACAAATTGTCTTTTTAAATTGTTAATAAAAAATTTATTTATTATTTAATGTGTGATATCATCACAGGAATCCATTTGCTACCTAAACTTTAATGGAAAATTGAAGTGTAATGTGTCATATATTAAATAAAAAGTAATTTGTTTTGATTGACAATTTAAAAAGATAATTAGTATTTTTTAAAAGAGCAAATTTGTCACTAACTTACTATTTGAGGGGTAATTTAAGGACTTAGCCTTTATTTAAACTTTTAAACTAGGTTCCTAACATTGTTACTATATATTTCATAAATTCATCTTACGATATGAAATGTTTTATCTATTATATACAGTTATATACTTTTTTTTGGGGGGGGGGGGGGGGGGGGCTAGGCCCTCTGCCCATTAAATCCTTTATTCATGTTGAACGCACCAAGTTGATATGGATTAGCTCTTATAATCGTTTAGAGATGGATTAATTTTCAGTAGCACAACCATTGCCTATTTTCAAAAAAAATTCAGTAGCACAAAAACTAACGAAGACATAACATAACGGTTAGAAAAAAAAATTAAGCACGCAATACTCCTATACGTGTCCTAGTCATATTCGTGTCCGACCATGTCATCAATACGCAATGCTCCGAACCTTGGAGTGCCTCATAGGACGAGAACTTTTTTTTGTCAGTATAAAGACATGAACTTTTATGAATTGGGATTACAAACTTTAATTGTTCAGAAATAAGGATATATTCATTATTTAATGACAAAAAATTATTATTTAATAATCATATATCACGTTAATAATGAAATACGTCATCAATTTTTATACGAAATGACAAATTTATGATCAAATTGATAAATACTATGAATTAAATTAGAGATTTTTTAGTTGAAAGACCAAATCAAAAGTCCAATAATTGAAGGATCAAATTAAAAATTTAACCTATATTTTTCTTAATTTGACTCTATCCTTATCCATTTACCTTAATTAATCATCATATTACAAAAAATTTATAGTATTTTTATCTTTTATTTTTTACGAATAATATAAATAAATATATAAATTATTTTTAAATCTTTAATTTAAAGAAGTTTAAAAAGGATAATTATTTTTTTGTACATCAAGAAGTTAATTACTTGATAACAGAGAGACTTGAACCTTTAATTTTAACTTCAAATTAAAATTTTTAATTTAATAAGTAACAACTCCATAATTATTTTAAGATAGAAAGAGTATTACCCGTATCACTTTTTTCTTTACTTCTTTTTTTTTCCTAATCATTACAAATTCAAGTAGGATTATTTCCATGAACACTTATTAGTATATGTTTTAATTTAAACATAATACATAACATATTTGGTAAAAAAATATTATTTTTTAATCTAAAATTAAATGTAGATAAATTTAAAAATAAAATTATGTATATATAATGTAAGAAATGGTTGAATTTGTTGTACCTATGATTTTTATGATTACAAAATACATTTGAATGACTAATTAGTTTATTTAAGTGTCTAGTTAAGTTGCTAAAAGATTGCAAGTAAACTTGGATTGCACTAAAAATAGACCAAAAGTATTCAAAATGTGCAGAGAGCCGGCTCTTAAAAGTTACAGCCGACTCTGGTGAAATGAAAGTGCAGAGAGCTGGCTCTGAAAGCTGCAACCGGCTCTACAGGAAAAAATTTGAAAGCCGTTGTTTGGCACGCGCAGAGAAAAGACGCAAAGCTGGCTCCAAATTTGCAGCCGGTTGTGAGGGCACATTTAATGCACAACAGTTGACTCTTTTGAAGAATATTTAATATATTTAAAGTCGGAGTTCCAAAGCCGGCTCAATGTCTTGCAGCCGACTCTCGAGAAAAACAGAATGTGCTACAAACTCGGATAGCCGGCTCTTCAAAGTCGACTCTAGGAAGTTAAGCTGACTCTCCTGACAATCCTACAGCTCGAGCTTTATGTCCTGCAGAGCATTTAATGACCCCCAACGACTAGAAATGGCTATTTTCGAGCAAGGGGTTATAAATATGGTTGGTAACAGATCTGAAAAGGGTTGGAGAACATTATATTGAATATCTTTACCTACCAACTTGTGCTTTAACTAGAGATTTTGATTTTTTAGAGATCTTTGTTTGTAATCCTCTTGTTGTGCTATTAGTGAGTGATTTTGGGGGCGTGTTGATTATTTCAAGAGTGATCTATTGAGAGGATTTGTGGGGTTTACATTGTAAAGGGGTGAGATTTGAGAGAAAAACTCATCTTCTTGTAAAAGGATTTAGTGGCTTCTTTAAGTCACCCTTGTTGTTGTTAGTGGAGAGTGTGGAGGAAATCCTTGGTGAGTGAAACCAAGGTAGAGGACTAGGCTCCAAGTGGTTGGACCGAACCTCTATAAATCATTGAACAAGCTCTTCTTCTCTACTCTCTTTAATTTGGGTGTTGTGGTTGCAAAAAGGGGAGAATTTTTGGAACTCCAATTCACCCCCCTCTTGGATTACATTAAGTCAACAGAATTAATAATATTTATATTATATTTTTAATGATTAACTTAAGAATATGTCAAAAAATATGTTGAAGTGGATGCAAATCAATCGTTTTCCTTATTGCCACAACATTTTATAATTGTCTAACCATTTTA